GATTGTTTGATAGACGAGTAAATAGGGCCCCCCCCCAAGTAAATCCAGAAGCAGAATCTGTGAGAAATGGGGATTGTTTGATAGACGAGTAAATAGGGACGCCCCCCCCCAAGTAAATCCAGAAGCAGAATCTGTGAGAAATGGGGATTGTTTGATAGACGAAGAAATAGATAATATTGGTTTTAGTTCATACAGATCAAAAACGGGCAAAAACAATATTTTTTTTTGTTCGAAGACTTGAATTGAAACCCCAAATGTAAATTTCCCAAACTTTTAAACAGCGATAACGACTACTTAATTATTTTTAAGGAAATCTGTAACAATAATAAACAGAAACAAATTAAATCAACATGGTTATATATACAAGACCAAAACTGGGAGGGATCGAACCCTGGATTTTAGCGTTCTAAGTCCGTAAAGTTACCGTTGACTTGCCTATAAATAATTGATGAAGTATTCCCATCAACACGGATATGCAAACGTGCCTAATTAAGACAGACATTTTACTGTTTAGTTGTGACTTATTATTTCATGACTTGGTTTGCATTCAGCCGATTTCATGAATGAAAAGGCTTTTAGTTTCTTTCTTGTTAAGCCCAAATCTACACAATGGGCTATCTTATGCCGTGCCCACCACGGGTTTTTAGTGTCTTAAGTCTCTAGATATATATATATGAAGAAATATTATATACATTCCATCAATTTTTTTTAGATAAAAAGCGGTAAACTTCAGATATTATCATGCTAAAATTCCAGGTTTGATTCATGCGGTGGACATAGTTAGGAATGTTGCCCATTGTTTAGCTTTACGCTGAACCAGATATTTGTTTTTCATAGAAGTTTTATTAAATTAGCTCGTGCAGCTTGTTATAAAATAAAAAGCGTCATTATTTGAGCCATTTTCATTCGCTAAATGATCTGCTTATTTTCTTACTTGTATGTTGTCATAGAAACAACTTGCTCAGTTATTTCTATAAGGTAGTTTGTTTCTGAATTTTGAGCAGAGTTACATCAGGGCTATCTTCGCATAGCCGACCTTAATTTTACCCTGGTAGTCTTAGGAGAAAGGCCGTTAGTCAACTTCACTGACCGCCAACTCTCGGGCTACTCTTGTCTGACCGAATAGTGGGATTTGATTTTCATTCTTACAACTTACTGACGGTCCCTAAGTGCAGAGCGCGTCTTTGTAACAACGAGGCGCGAACCGTGAATTATCGGATTTTTGTAAAGAAGTGTTCGTAATAAATCGCCAGATATTTTGTTATTTCTTTTATGGATAATTTCTAGAACAAAAAGAGGAAAAAAATTCCACGGATCAAAAACATTAAACGCTAAGTAGTTTGTCACCCCCCCACCTCCCCTCAGTGGCTTAGCGGTAAGTTTGAATATCCGTGGTGGGCGCGGCACAGATAGCCCATTGTATAGCTTTGTGTTTAACAATGAACAAACAAAGAAACAAATAAGTCTAAGCAGTTTCTGTTACACTTATAACTACATTTAAAACTGTAAAAATCCTTCTCAATAATTATGAGCACCGTTCCAGTAGCCCTCCAGTGGAACAGCGGTATGTCTTCGGACTTACAACGCTAGAATCCGGGTTTCGATACTCGTGGTGAGCAGAACACAGATGGCCCATTGTGTAGCTTTATGCTTAACTACAAACATACAAACCGTTCCAGTAAATTGCAGAAAAAAATAAGAAAAATTTTCAACCATATTTAAACAGATGACAGGCGAGCGTGGCGCAGTTGTTAACGTACCGGGCTACGTATCCGCAGTTCTAGCGTTCGCGTCCCACTACCGCAAATAATAGAAATAAATCCGCGTTCCTTCACTTTAGCACAATGGATTCTTTATAAAGGTGACAGTCAGATAGGAGTAGCTTAAGAGTTAGCGGCGGCTGCTGTTGGCTAGCTGCATTTCCTCTAGTCTATCAACTCAAAATTAAAGACGGCTGGCGCAAATAATCTTAGCGCGAAAATCTTAAAACAAAAAAATGAACAATTAAAGGGGTGAAATCAGGGGTAATTGGCACCACCGAATCTTCATTTGTACGTGGTTTTGTTGTTGTTGTTGTGTTATTTTGTAATCATGAAGTTTTTAGTAGCTCATTCCTATCTAATGTAGTCAGGGAGTCGATTTCCCGCCGTGGTTTTGTTGTTGTTGTGTTATTTTGTAATCATGAAGTTTTTAGTAGCTCATTCCTATCTAATGTAGTCAGGGAGTCGATTTCCCGCCGTGGTTTTGTTGTTGTCGTGTTATTTTGTAGTCAT